CATTCTACTCCTCTTCCGAGATCTCCTTCGGCTGCTGTTTCTTAGCCTTGCTAGGTCCTAGCTTAACCAGGCGTTCCTCCATCTGGTCCATACGATTGAGAACCGTCTGAATCACCCGGTCGGCCTCGCCCGTTGTGTGAGTCATCAGTTCGGCATGGCTCTCTTGTTGCTCCACAAGTTGTTGTTCCTTTGCTTGCAGTTGCCGAGACCATCGACGAGCAAGAGGAGAAAGCGCCCGCCGAGACCATCGACAAGGCCGCCAACAAGCCAGAGGAGAGAGCCCCCACCGCGATCGACAAGACCATCTACGAGCCAGAGGAGAAAGCCCCCGCCGAGACCGTCGACGAGACCATCTGCGAGCCTGTGAAGAAAGCCGTCGCCGAGACCATCGACGAGACCACTGACGAACCTGAGGAGAAAGCCCACGCCGACGACATCGGTGAGGAGGACCCCCTCCCCGAGCCAGTGCAAAAGGAGAAGCCTGCTGAGAGCGTGCTGGGCAATCTGTTAGGTCTGGGAAGACGTGTCTGAGCATTTTTGTTTGAGCCAATTTTGTGTCGCAAGCATATTGCAAGTTGCGACAGCAGAACAGCCACAAAGTATAGGCATCCGCTGGTCCTACAGGCGAGTAGCGGCTCTGCAGGGCTGAAGAAACGGACGTTCCAGTCTGCGGAAACAATCTCATTTGTTGCTGTGACGGCGATGTCGGTAGAGATTGAGATTGTTTGATGTCGGTGGTAGCTTCGCAGTTCTCTTAACAAGCTTCTCATAAGCCTTAACGATTATTAATGATTTTTTGTTGTTTCGCCCAGGTCCCTCGTCTACATGGCGAACTTCCGCGTCAGGACCTCTAAGTGAAACCAAGTGCTCGCAGTAGGCTCGGGTGGACTTGGGAGCGACTGTTGGGAGGCTTGCGTTAGGAACGGTGTGCGCTAGGAGTAGCTTGCAATAGGAACGGTGTTCCTCAGGAGTGGTGTGAACTAGGAGTTAGGAGCGGCTTGCTCGTAGTCGTTTTTTCGAAGCCGTGGCCGAGCTCACCCTAGGCCTTGATTGTTTCTACCACTTTGTCGTTGGAGCCTCTGAGCGCTTGTTGCCAGATCTCTCCGTAACAAAATGGCGCTTCTAAGCCCCAAGTCCCCTAAGCTTTCCCAGCAATCCTTGGCTTTTTGCTCTTCCCAGGTCCTCTGCTTCATCGGCTTCTTCGACTTCGCCGCGGTCACAGAGCTTTGATGTCTGCGTGGTAGGAGCGTCTTATATGTGGGTCCGCCTAGGGTCCGTTTACGTGGGTTTTAGCCGTTTAAATCCTCTGCAGACCCAACCTAAGGAAAAA